TTTATTTCTAGGAGAGAGAGAGACAGCGTGAACAGGGGAGGGTCAGAGAGAGAGGGAGATACAGACTCTGAAACAGGCTCCAGGCTCTGAGCTGGCAGTCAGCACAGGGCCCGACGCGGGGCTCGAACCCACAAACCGCAGATCATGACCTAAGCGAAAGTCAGACGCTTAACCAACTAAGCCACCCAGGCGCCCCAAGGCCCCCATATCTTTGTTGTGAGTCTAGTTGATATAAACCTTTCCCCCCTGGGTACCGTCTTTGTTCAGGGCACAGAACTGGGGGCTTGGGTGGGGAAAGCCCAAGATTTGGAGCAAGAAGCCCTGGGTCAGAATCAGGTCTGGGTTTTAGCACCAACTCAGTGATTCAGTCCCTCAACTTGTATTTACTGAACATCTTTGCCATGTACTGTGCCCAGTGCTGGGGAGACAGCTGTGAACAGACCAAATTCCTGCCTTCCTGGATAGGCTGCTCTAGTGGGGACTTGTAGGGACAGAGATAAACAAACACATAGATAACAGCTCCGGATGGTGATTGGTGCTATGAAAAAAGTAATGCAGAGCTGACAAAATGGGCATGTACTTGAGATGCTGGCCTCTTCCTGTGAATACATTCCTGAAGATGCTACAGAAACAAGGGGGGGTTTGATGAGATTAAGAAAGGAACACAAAGCCATGAGAACTGCTCCCCCCATCCTACCTCCTTGGAGGCACCAGGTGGTTGGGTCATGGAGTGTGGGAAGGAAACAGCAGTCTCTTGCAGGTGAGGGCTGGGAGCCATAGGAGGGAGTAGGAGAAGTGAATGCCTTATAACATGTACTTTTCTCTGCCCACATTGGTTGGATAGATCATTGCCCACCCCCACCCCCATCCTTATCTCCATCACTGCCATCACGCTCTGAGGCAGAAAATAGTTGTGCTAGCCAGGACCCGTAACATCCGGTTGGAGTTTGAAGCATAGAACAACCGGACCTGGCAGCCCCTAGCAGTCCAAGCCCTTCTTCCCCCTGCCTGGGTCAGAGCATTCCAATCACATGACCTTGATCGTGAAAAGAGTAGTGGCTAGGGGAGAGTGTGTAGAAGTTCCATGAGAAAGGTGCCTGGTATGGGTCAGAGGCGGTCCGAGGGACCCAGAGGGAGCCAAATTTATGCTGTAATGCTAGAGGCAATTCCCTTGTCCCCACCGCCACCCTTCCCTTCTTTGAGCTCCCCAGGAGGGATACAGGAGAGAATTTAGGCTTTAGCCTCTTTCTAGGTAGCTGATATCCAGGGGAATATCAATCACTGGGAAAACTAATCAGACTTCTGGAAAGTATAAGATAAAGCAGATTTAATCAAGACATGAATTGATTCATTTCAGCTACTAATAGTGCAGACTTCAAGTAACAGCTACTGATAATACAGACTCCAAGCGCAATGAAAATTTATTTTTCCCTTTTGTAGAAGTGTGGGGGTAGACCGTTCATCGTCCACATAGTAGCTTTGTGTCATTAGTTCTTGAGGACTCAGGTTTCAATCCAGATCACTATTCCCCCATCTCATCCTCGTAATCCAAACTGGCAGCGACTGCACCAGTCATCACATCTGTATTCGAGGCACCCAGATAGCAGAGGGCTGAGGAAGGAACAAGCATCAGATTGACTTCAGATTTCCTCACAGCAACACTGGATTTAAGACAATAGTTGAATCATATTTTTAAAGTATCAAAGAGAAAGAACTTTGAACCTAGATTTTGATTTCTAGCTCAATTATCAGGTATTTGAAGGATCAGAAGATTTCTCACAAATAGTCACACTTTGAAAACACTGTTAGAGGAAGCCCTCCAACAAAAAAAGAAATAAATACAGGGGTGCTCAACAGTAGTAAGAGGGATTAAATCACTTGTTTAAATCACTCTTGTCTAAGTAAATGTGCAGTGCAGAGCCCCAAAGCATAGCCTGGGTACATAGAAGCTGAGGAGATGACAGCCTGTGGGAGTCCCGCCTAATGGAATGGAACCCATCTAGGTCACTTCTTTGAGGAAGAGGGGAAGACACAGCAGCGGACCAGAGCATTGCTCTTATTTTTGGGCTGTTTTGCCAGGCTTGTCTAAAACCAACATGCTCTGCCTTGAGCCATTTCTTCTATTTATTCTTTGACTTTAAATTTCCGGGTAACATTTCCAAACCTTCCAGTGGTGGGATGGAAAATGAATCAGAAAGGAGATGGGTGTTAAGCAAAGGTCAGAGTCCAGGGCCAGTGAAGTTTATCTTTACCTGCGCTATTTACATGGCAAAGGTTCAGGTATTAAATTAACCGGAAACTACAAAGACCATTAAAAAAAAAAAAAAAAAAGAGGCAGGAAGCCAAGATTACTTTTTCCTCCTCTGTGTCCACGCCCTCGAAAATATCATGAAACAAATAAGGCTTTGTCTGATTTCTCTGGTTTTCAATGAAGATGTAAAGTGAAACTGGGATTTCTGGAACAATTTGCTTCTTCGTGGTCCCTCAAGCAGAACTTGGTAGGAAGAGTGACAGAATAGTGCTGGTTGGGAGAAAAGGGGGTGATTTTGTTCTGGTTTCTGGTACCTTCTTTCTCCTCTAGTCTCCCAGTCTTTCATGCTAGCCTTCCTCCCTCCCTCTCCCCTCAACCTCTCTACACTTCCCTCCTCCTCCTCCCCATCGGCCTCTCCCCACTCTCCCCCTACCCCTCAACCCCTCTCCTTCTCCCCATCCTTCTCCACCCCTCCCTGTCTTTCATCTTCCCCTTCCTCCCCTTCTTCTCCTCACTCATGTGTCTCTCCCCACCTCCCCTCTGTCCCCCTGTCCCTAAGCCTTTTTCCTTCCCCATTGCTCTTCCTTCACTTCTTCCCTTCCTCTCTCTTCACCCCTACAACAATTGTTTTTGGAGCTCCGAGGAAGCTGGGACCTGGGGAGAGTGTATGGGCTCCCGGGATCCCAGTAGAGGGAGAAAGATCTTAAATGTGAGGAAGACTGTGAAGTGGGAAGAAGGTGGAGGAGACCCCAGGACCCGGAGAGGACCAAGGCTGGGGCCCGAGGAGGCTTCAAGACCGGGTCTGATGGGGGCGCTGTGGGCCCGACAGTGGAGCAGCCCCCGTGCGGGCTCCCCGCTGCTGGATGCCCTGGAGGCCACCACGGGGCTAGGACTTCATTTCCTTGCTGTTGAGGCGGAACATTTTCCTTTCTTCCCTTCTGGGTTCTTTGGCTGGTTTAATAATGAAATTAACATCAGGCAGATTAACAGGAGGAAAATAAATGTAATTACATCCACACGGGAGTCCCACAGGAACATAAGACTCCAAGACAGTCAGGCCACTGAGGCTCACATGTCATCCTGAGCTGAGGAAAGGGACGGGGGGGGGGGGGGGGGGGGGGGGGGGGGGGGGGGGGGGGGGGGGGGGGGCGGCGTCTAAAGGGCAGGAGGGCAATTCACAGAAGAGCCGATGTCTGGCGATCAGATCAGATCGTTGGCCCTACCATGCAGGTGAGTCTCTCAGATAAAAAAAAAAAATTAAAATTAAATTATATCTGGTAATAATTCTCTTTCTGGGCCAGGGCCCCTATCTAAATTCTTCTAGGTGGTTAGGGGAGAGGTAAAAAGCTTTTCCTGAACATTTTGGGGCTTGACTGCTTTCAGCTCAAATAATCCACATGACAAAGTGGCATTTTTGGGTGATGGATTCTGTTCCCTTTCATCATCTCCGCGGCCAGAGCTGGTTCCTGTGAGGGCGCCAGGGTCTCCCTGACAGCTGGTGTTCTCATGAGGGTCAAGCATCTCAGTTTTACTTGAACTTTAGGTAAATGAAAGTCTAATGAAGGTCTGTTAAGAGGGCTGGGCAGAAAGGCCCTAGTTCTAATCCTTACTGTACCCTTGCTGGGCCCAGGATGGGTCGATGGTGTGTCAGCAGGAGAGGTGGGCAGGCCCCCCAGGGCACACCTATACTGGCTGAGGGCGCTGAGGGGCAGGAAGGAGATCCTCCATCTCAGCCTGTGCTTGAGCACCCTACCCCAGCACCCCCTCCAAGGGGTGCATGAAGAGACCTGGGAGTAACAGTTAAAAGAGCATCCATGTAAAAGCGGGGACACCCGCCTGCTCTGCCTGGCATCCGGGGGCAGGTGACAAGCTCACCCGAGCATTGCCAGCATGTCTGCAGCCTCAGCCCGGCAGAATGTCGGCAAAATGCAGCTTCGGCATGCAATCCCAGCAAACCTGCTGGCCTTGGCCTCAACGTGACTTCACGAGAATCTGCCAACGTCTGAGCCTCCGGCACAGTGGGGAAGGGAGCAGCAGCTGACCTGTCCTGCAATGACATAGGGCGACCTTGCAGCCACTCAGCTTGGTCCTCCTTTAAAATCCCCCTGGCCAGGTCAAGTTAGAGTTTGAGCAGGAGTCTCCCAAGACCTAACCTTGCAGGAGAATGGCACTGGCCAGTAGTGGCCGGGAAGGGGCTGCGATCTCTAAGAGCTGAATGCGGCCTTTATCTCCCCCAGGATATGAATGTACCAACCTCACTCAAGCTGGCATTTAATTGTCAGGCCTCTGGAGGTTACAGTGGATCAGAGGGTGGGTATCACGGAGGCATCTCCATAGCACGCACACCCTTTTAGAGACAAGCAAGTACAACGTCAGCTGTGTCCATGGGATGGACCTGAGGGATAGCGCTCTCTGTGCACTTCGTAGCCCTGTCTCATTCTGTGCAACTCTGCAGCCCCTTAGTGACCCAGCTGATGAGCTCTATGAAGTGGATGTGTTTTCAGGATATGTGCAGCGGATGACTTCATGATCACTCTTCACGGAGCCTGGTGTAGGACAAGGTAACCATTAAATATTAATCTCATGATAACATTATTTGCTCAGACCAGCACCCGGCCAGCACCTCTCTTACCCAGAGAGATAGAGCTAGGATTCAGGCGGGATGGACTCTGTGAGTGCAGGAAAACACGGGTTTCGTTGCCAGATCTGTGTGTTGAATGTGGCTCCACAGGTCAGAGAGCTTCTGTGATTACTGGCTTAGAGGCTGCTCAGCTCACCAATCTCAGGTTGTGCTGGGCAAAGGTGAGGGGGGTGTTCCAATGACATGATAGTGGCATGACGCTGGTGGCACAGTGAAACCCTCACCTCATAGCTTTAGAAGAAGCCACTTCTCACTTTTCACTGGCAGGAGAAGCTGTGGATGCCAATTCGACCTTCTGTGATGATAAAAATATTTTGTCTGCGCTGTCCAGTATGGCAGCCCCTGGCCACAGGTGGCTATTGAGCACCTGAAATATAGCTAGTGTGACCGAAGACCTTTTTTTAAATTTTTATTTAATTTTAATTAATTTTACATTAAATTTAAGTAGCCACAGGTAGTTAGGGGCTATCATATTGGGCAGATCTAGAAGGTCTGCTATCATTTTCTTACAAGGATGATTTCTGTGGCTTCATTGACAATTTAGTTTAGATTGTTTCAGCATTAGACAGTGACAGTGCGAGGGTACCCCGATTTTATTACAAAGGGCCAGGGGTAGAATCGCTAGTAGATTAAGCCACCTGTGACGCTCCCACTCCTCTTTGCCAGTGATTGATCTTGGGGTAGGTTTGTGACGCAATTCTAGCCAATGCAACACAAGAGGATGTCCCCTGGAGAGACTTCTGGGGAAGATTTTCTTTCCCGACCAGGGAAGGTGAACAGCCCCTTTTAGCCCATCAGCTTCCATCTTGTTTGGGACACTGATGTGTGGATTTGATATTTGGACCTGGGGCAGCCAACTTGTCAGTGTGAGGGAAAGGCCAAGACAATCAATATCTTTCTTTGAACTGTTGATAGTATTTGGGGAAACTCAGTGAACCCGTGTCCTGGGAGAGCTTCTGAGGCTCACCTTAGTCTAAGCGCAGTATCATCAATGCAGTGGGCCAGCATGATGTCCCACAGGCAGTGAGATGGTCAAAGTCCATCCAGCACAAAGTCTAGAAGCAAAACGGAGGGGACTTGCTGCTGTCCACTCCTGGCCCATGCTTCTTCTGCCCTGGCCAGATGGGAGGGTGGTGTAGGATGGAGAGAGTAATCAACCCCCCATACACACACACACACACACACACACACACAGCCCTTCAACTTATTCACAGCTATAGTAACGGCCGCGCTCCCTTCTGGGCTTTGGTCCTCCTTCAGATTTGCTGTGTGTTGGGTGGCCATGGGGGCACTCCAAGGGCTTCTTCTCTGCCCTTTGTGTTATAATAGCCCTTACTTTTGGGTCAGAGAACCAATGTGAGGGTTCTGCCTGAGGTTTAAGACATTTATTTCAATCCTACACCCAGGCTCTGGAGAAGTAATGGATTCAGCTTCCTGCAGCCCTACTATGAGCAGGAATTCAACCAAGGCTCCATTTATCACTCAACCAGGTGGTGTTCTTGTTCCCCTGGAATTACTGTTGGCTGAGCTGGCATCCCAAATCCTCCGAAAGGGCGTGAGTCACTATGTTCCCTGGGGCACAGTTTCCCTGACACATGGTCAGATCTCCTGTAGGAAAAGCAGGAGTAAGACAGGCAGAATACATTTTTTATGTTATCACATGTCACCTCCCCCCCCGCCCCCCATTACCCAGTCTTCATTCAATTCAGTGGGCTGTGAGCTGACACATCAGAGAAGCCACTTTGTCACTCTGGGATCTTCTCCTGAAAATAGAGACCATTTTGATGGCAGTATCCTCCCAGTAACAGCCAGCCTGGGTTGCTGGCCCTGGCATTATTGCTGCTGGCCCCTCAGGATTATGCTGTTAGACTCTTAACTCTGGTGCAGCCACTGAGAATATTATCTGATTGACCACAGGGCCTTTCCATCACTCTTTCACAATTCAAAGTCCTTGGCAGGAATATTTAATTGGCTGAGTTTAGGTTACATGATGATATACTAGTTATAAAGAAGCTAAGTGAGAGAATATTTGATTCTCTTTTGGGTTCCATAGAGAGGAATAGATAAGAACCTTGCCCCTCACCTTCCTAGAGGCTGGGAAGCCAAAAGACTGGTGATTTTTATCTTCAGTTATTCCTTTTCTTTCTTTCTCTCTTCCTTCCTTCCTTTTTTCTTTATTAAAGTATAGTTGGTATATAACATATTAGTTTCAGACATTCAGCGTAATGATTCAATATTTGTATATATTTCAAAATAATCACAATAATTCTATTTAAGATCAGTTACCATACACAGTTACAATTTTTCTATAATGAACATTTATTACATGCCTAATTTTTATTGTTCTTTTTAAAAAATATTTTATTTATTTTTTTAAAGTAGGTTCCTCACCCAATGTGGAGCTCAAACTCGTGACCCCAAGATCAAGAGTCATACGCTCTACCAACTAAACCAACTAGGTGCCCCTACAAGCCTAACTTTTAAAAAGGAGTCTGTCATTTTTAAATACTTTTCAATCAGCCAGTTCCAAAGCTGTAACGACTATACATGTTTGAGGCAGGGGAGGGTCATTAAAAATGGTTCTTGGACCTGAAAAGGTCAATACTAGCCTAAGAATTTGAGGTGTCAGTCATTTGTGTGTAAGGGTGAAACTGAAGTGGTCCTGCCTGGGTCCTGCCACCCCCCTACCCCCACCCGCCGTGGTAAGGGTATATCTGGTGACCTCTATTCAGGTTCCTTGACTTTCAGAGGAGGCTGTTAACCCTGACCCCAGCACAGCTGTCTGTTTAAACATTCATGTCTGCCCTTAACCAGCAATATAGAAAGAATATCAAGGGTCCTTGTCAGATCAGAGCTACAACCTAAAACTCACACTTGTTTGATACTTAGCAAACATTTGATTGAATTAAATAACATTTAGGAAGACTTGTGTGAATGGCAGTCACACAGTCATGCATAAGAGCTCTAGTCCTTGTTTTTTTTTTTAATTCCCTGGGGCACCTGGGCGGCTCAGTCAGCTAAGCCTCTGACTTTGGCTCAGGTCATGATCTCACATTTGTGGGTTTGAGCCCCACGTTGGGCTCTGTGCCTGCTTCAGATTCTGTATTTCCCTGTCTCTCTGCCCCTCCCCCTCTCATGCTCTGTCTCTCTCTATCTCAAAAATAAATAAAACATTTAAAAAAAAATAAATTCCCTTTTAACATTTGTTCATTTTTGAGAGACAAAGACAGAGCATGAGTGGGGGAGGGGCAGAGAGAAAGGGAGACTCAGAATCTGAAGCAGGCTCCAGGCTCCCAGCTGACACCACATAGCCCTACATGGGGGTCGAATTCACAGAATGAGATCATGCCTTTTGCTGAAGTCAGATACTTAACCGACTGAGCCATCTAGGCGCCCAAGCTCTAGTCCTTGTTAGCATTTATTTTGGGATTGAGTAATACACTTGGATGATCACATGTTCTCTGCCCCTGGTAGGATTTCTTCGGTTTGAACCCACATGGAGTCATTCCAGTGACTTAAAGAAGGGAGACTATCTACACCAACCCCATGGCCCTGATTGTTTTAAGGCCCTGATTTGTTTATATCTAATGAACATTGTGAGTGATATGGCTGGCCTTGTTACTTTCTTTGCATGTGGCTTCACATTATTTCTCCTAATCTAACTTTCCCTTCTTCCTAATGTTTCCTGTGACTTTTTATTTTTAAATGTTTATTTTTGAGAGAGTGTGCATATGAGGGAACGAGGGGCAGAGAGAGAAGGGGACAAAGGATCTGAAGTGGGCTCTGTGCTGACAGCAGTGAGCTGGATGTGGGGCTCAAACTTACCATGAGATCATGACCTGAGTTGAAGTTGGATGCTCAACTGACTGAGCCACCCAGGCACCTCCTGTGGCTTTTTAAAAAAGTATTTTATTGGTATATTTTGTAAACAAGCTCAAATGGCTTTTCTTTATTTCTTAGTCAAAGAAAGAAGATAAAAACAAAGATACACATAAAATATTTAAAATTTTATATTTTCGCTTGGCCCCTTATACTGAACTCTGAGCTATTCTCTAATCTGGGGAGCTCAGGGATTTTACTGGGTCTGAAGTTTTTATTTCAGTCTTTAAGAATAATCATTTTGTCACCACTCTTGTGATCACTGTGGTAGGAAGAATTTTCATCCGTTTGCATTCTTTCAAAACTCCTTTTCTTCCATCTGATGTCTACCTAGTACCTGACGCGATCATTATGAACTCATCTTTAGTCTCTGGAGAGTGGAATAAAGGGATTCAGCGACTCATGTCCTTTTTCAGTTTTCTAATCCTCTCACAAGAATTCCAAGCATTTTGAGTCTTTACATTCTTTTTTCTCTTTGCTACAGATCTGGGACAAATCAACATCAAAAAGTCACTGGTTTGCTTTGGAGGCAATCTTGAGACCGGTTGGTAGTCGTTGAGGCTCCGGTTCCCTCAGCCACCAACACATACAACAGAAACCTAAAAACAGTGTTTGCGTAGAGAGGAACTTATGTGTTCGTTCTGGGATAAATCTGAGACAGCAGTTACAATCCTCTATTCCCCATGTTTCTTGTAGAAAAAAAAAACAGAAAATAAGGACAATAAAAAAGGAAACAACCTCACCCAGTTTCTTATTATTAGCAACTAAGGGATTAGCTTTCCAAGGTGTTTTTTTTTTTGTTTTTTTTTTTAATGTTTATTTATCTTTGAGAGAGACAGAGCGACAGAACTTAAGCTGGGGGGAGGGGGCAGGGGGCAGGAGAGAGAGGGAGACACAGAATCTGAAGCAGGCTCTAAACTCTGAGCTGTCAGCACACAGCCCAGTGCGGGGCTCAAACCCACGAACTGTGAGATCATGACCTGAGCTGAAGTCAGACACTTAACCGACTGAGCCACCCAGGCGCCCCAACCTGTAACACATCTCTGAGAATAGTACCCCCACACAGTAGGTACTATTCTGATACCTACTTCTCTCTCTGGACCATACATTTTGGATATCTTTCCATATCAACACCTATAGACTGACATCATCATTTCAAAAGGCCAAATAATGTTATGTATCTGATTACTGTACTTTAGGGTTTTTTTAAAAAGTTTATTTATTTATTTATTTTGAGAAAGATAAAGCAAGCTTGAGCAGAGGAAGGGTAGGGAGGGAGAGAGAAAGAATTCCAAGCTGGTTCCATGTTGTCAGCGCAGAGCCTGATGCGGAATTCAGACCCACAAACTGCGAGATCATGACCTGAGGCGAAGCCGGACACTTTATCAACGGAGCCACCCAGACGCTCCTAGCTGTACTCTATTTTAGTCAGTGTCCTCATGTTGTGAACTTCTATGCAATTATAAAAAGCACTTCTGCCCACAATCTTACAGAAAGCCTGTGCACTGACACTTTCAAAATGCTTATAAGTCATCCTTAGATGCACCAATGTGGACAGGTCACCCCACATCACCTGCAATCTTTCTGGCTTTTCTAGTTCAATGGCTTTGGCTGTACTTTTTGCACATGAAGGCTGACTTGCTCCGACCTAGCTGACCAGAACTGTTTGGGAGATGACTGAAGAAAGTGTCTGGCTTCCTCCTTACCAGGACCTTCCTTTCTACAGTGACAGCATCATCTCACATTGGTCTCGATGATTGAATTGCCTCATCATTTCTGGTAGCAGAAAGGGAGCCAACTCCCTTTTGATTCATGCCTTACTTGAGACCTGGCATTCTCTTCCTGCATTATTCTGCTGCTCCTTAAGTGTGTGCCTGATAGCTGAATGCATGAATAAACAGATTCCAGGAGCACAGAATTGGTGTGGGCGAGGGACAGACAGTCCACAGGGAGAAGGTGACATGTGGGGGTGGTGGGCAGGCTTAAATTCAACACTATGGATGAGTTAAAGATGCATGTTTCAGTTTCTAGAAAAAAAAAAAACTAGAAACAACACCAAGGAGCTTAGCTAAAAAGCTAATAGAGAGATAAGTGTCAGAGTAAATGATGCTCTAATTCACCTAAAAGAGTGGCAGAGAAAGGTGAAGAGAGGAAAACAAACTTTGGGGACAAATAGAAAACTAAACCAAGATGACAGACTTAAACTTAACCATGTTGATAGTTATTTAATATCAACAAACTAAATACTCTTTAAAAATATTTATTTATTTTAGACAGAGAGAGCATGAGGGGGGGAAGGGGAGGGGCAGAGAGAGAGGGGCATAGAAGATCCAAAGCAGGCTCTCCGCTGAGAGACAGCTCTCTGACAGCAGAGAGCCCAATGTGGGGCTCAGACTCACAAACTGTGAGATCATGACCCGAGCTGAAGTTGGACACTTAACCAACTGAACCACCTAGGTACCCCTAAATACTTTTATGTAAAAATCAGTGATTATCAGATTGTGTAAAAAAGCATACACAATATTCACCAAGATAGACCATACGTTGGGCCATGAAACAAGTCTCAATAAATTTCAAGGGATTGAAAACATACAGAGTTCTTTATCTGAGGTATTAAATTAGTCACCAATCACACAGATATTAAAATTAATAATCAGGGACGCCTGGTTGGCTCAGTTGGCTGAGCGTTCGACTCTCAATTTCTGCTCAGGTCATGATCTTGCAGTGTGTAGAATCGAGCCCCATTTTGGGCTCCATGCTAAGCATGGAGCCTGTTTGGGATTCTTTCTCTCTCTCTCTCTCTGCCTCTGTCTCTGTCTCTGAATAAATAAATTTAAAAAGGTAACAAAATTGTAAAAAAATTATATAAAAATTAATAATAAATAACAATATGATATACAGGATGTCCTCAAATATATGGGAATTAAGCAAACAATCTCAAATAACATCTTAATTTCCTTTCCTTTTTTATTTTTTTTTAAGTTTATTTATTGATTTTGAGAGAGACAGAGACAGCGTGAGTAGGGAGGGGCAGAGAGAGGGAGAGAGAGAATCCCAAGCAGAGTCCTCGCTGCCAGCTGTGGGGCCCGACGCAGGGCTCGAACTCACTCATGAACCATGAAATCATGACCCAAACCAAAACCAATAGTTGGCCATTTCATGGACCAAGCCACCCAGGCACCATACCCTCTCCACATAAATCTTAAAACACCACATGTGAAACGGGGAAATACTTTTCCTTGAACAAAAGCGAAAATAAAACACCCAAATTTGTGAGCTTCAGCTAAATGAGCACGTAGAGAGATTTTTTTGTTATAGCTATGGGCTAGTGATGATTATGTGCCTCCCTTGTCTCCTCAATATTTGTCACATGTGTGTTGGGGAAATAACATGTTCTTTGTGGTTCACAGGCCTCTCTCTGCACCTAAGAAACCAAACCTGAGCTGTACATGAGGAACCAAGCCTGGGGAGGACCTGAGTGAGGTGCTGGAATAGCACGAATTCTTTAGACGTTTTATTTTGCTTTGTTTTGCGGGGAGGCTCCATTTCACAAGTGGATACAAATGATTAGGAGCTGGAGGGCCGACTGTGTAGACTGTGACACTGGTGGTCCCCGGTTAACCATGCCTTCCGGCAGTAGTTCCACACTGACTCATTTAGTTCTAGACTGACTCAGGGCTCAGCTATTTGACTTGAGTGAGAATGATGCAGATAGAGACTTGGTAAGAGCCTGCGCAGTGGGGGCTTTGTCTTCTTGGAACACTCCTTGGGATTCAGCTGCCCTGTGTAAAGAAGCCCATATTAGGCTACAAATGAGGAAGGGACAGGGGAGCAGGCCTTGCAGGAAGAGAGACAAGCTTGAAGGTTCCAGGTCCTGCCAAGCCTCAGGCTGAAGGCAGCTGTAGGCGTTGTAAGGACACAAGTCTAAACGTCTAAACCAAACTGACTCCATGACAGGCTTTAAGCATGACCTCAGCTTGTTGCAGGATTCTCGTTCAGAGAATCGTGACACCGAGGCTTTTTTTTTCCAGGAAGCAACTTTATTCGTGCCGGCACCGCTCAGTTGGGTTCGTACCCAAAAGAACTGAGCGGCCCACATCATATGGCATAGGGTTTTTTTTTTTATACATTTTCTATTTCTTTGTCTCCCATATATGGTAACACACATAAACATGCAGTCTGATTAAGTTGTTTCAGTTTACAAGAACATGGGGGATGTAGGCAGCTGGACACATATCTAGGTGACCTTGAAGTCTTCCCTTCTCTCTTCATTTTTTTTCTTTCTCCTTAGGGAGGGGTTCCTACCACAAACTATACCATGAACCACCTAGTTGAGCCCATTGACCCATAGAAACATGAGAAATAACAAATCTTTGTGCCATTGTTTTGTTTTGTATGTTTTGGGGTGGTTTGTTATGTGGCTAGAAAACAGGAACACGTAAGAAGTTTTGGAACTGAGAGGTTTTTCAGAGTTGTCTCCAAATGAGATCAAGTCCAGGCCTTTTTACTCCCACATGGACCTGAAGGGGAGCAGAACATGCCACCCCAAACTTTGGCTTGTGGATTATATTGAGCAGAAGGCGATCAAGTCCCAGCATACTCAGGAAAAGCTTTTTTTTTTTTTTTAATGTTTTGTTTATTTCTGAGAGAGAGACAGCACGAGCAAGGGAAGGTCAGAGAGAGAGGGAGACACAGAATCCGAAGCAGTCTCCAGGTTCTGAGCTGGCTGTCAGCACGGAGCCTGATGCAGGGCTGGAACCCATGAACCGTGAGATCATGACCTGAGCCGAAGTCGGACACTTAACCGACTGAGCCACCCAGGCGCCCCAGGAAAAGCTTTTTTACCTCTCTCTTGACTGCCTAAAATAATTTACATAGGGGGCCGGCTCAGAGAGGGAGCTATTATCAGAGATAATAAGATAATAAGAGCTTTTCATATGAAATACATCTGCCTGGCGGGGCATTTGATTACAGAACATCTGCTCTTCTCAACTTCCTGTGAGTTTCCTTTCTCTCCTTTGAAGCCCCAGCTCCCCATCCCTTTCCTTAGCTCAGGATAGCACAGAAGCCTCAATTGCCTGACTGCCTTTGAGCCTCGTATTTTTATGGGTCTCCTATACGTATGTAATTAAATTTGTTTTCTCCTGTTAATCCATGTTATGTCAATTTAATTATCGCACCAGCCAAAGAACCTAGAAGGTAAGAAGGGAAGAATTTTCTGCCTCTACAAACCTGTCATTAAATTCATCTTGACTGTCAGGAAGTGACATGATCTGGGGTGAAGCAATTTTTTTTTTTTTTTTTTAAAGCCAACGGTGATTCCCAGAGATGGACACAGCTGTGAGCTCGCAGCAGGCAACACTTCTGGCATCTGAGGGGATGAGTGTCTGGATCCAGTGGTTCATACAACATTCACTGCAGTCAGATTTCTATGGACTTCCACTATTTTCCCATTGGGATAAATGAAGGGGGCTACAGACACTTTATTTGACGTCAGGTCAAACTTCTGGCATGATGTGCTCGGTTTAAAGTCAGAGTTTAATGTAAAAACATGGTAGGTGGACATATGAGGGTCTGTCTCCTGGATTTCAGGCCTGAGGGGAGTACTTTCCCACCATAGCTGGCTGCTGCGGACTGAGAATTGAACATGACATGTCCCAACCCTAGAAGGCCACCCTGACTCATTTCTATGTTCCTTACAGGCTATGGAAGTAATGATAATGAAGTCTGACCTTGGGGCAGCAAATACACAGAGAGAGGGGGATAGGGCAAGTCTGAAGAGGGTACGGGGGCTCCAGTCATCAGAGGACTGTGGCATTGAGAAGGAATCTTCAGCAAATATGTAAGTATCTTTAGGAATATTCATTGTAGCACTGTTTCTTTTTTCTTTTAATTTTTTTTAATGTTTTATTTATTTCTGAGAGAGAGAGAGAGAGAGAGAGAGAGAGAGAGAGACAGCGCGGGCAGGGGAAGGTCAGAGAGAGAGGGAGACACAGAATCCGAGGCAGGCTCCAGGCTCCGAATCAGCCGCCAGCACAGAGCCCGACGCGGGACTCGAACCCACGAACTGTGAGATCATGGCCTGAGCTGAAGTCGGACACTTAACCAACTGAGCCACCCAGGCGCCCCCATTGTAGCACTGTTGTGAGATCCATCAGCAGGTGAACTGCCACAAAAGGAAAAACTAATATTGAGAACGCGCTGTGTCGATCGCCTTCCCAGCATTACATGCTTCCTGAACTAATGTCATCTAATATTCATTCAGATGCTCTGCCTTTCTCAGCCAGCCTACCAAGGGAAGCTAACCTCAGCCCAACCTGCCGCTGGGCCCTGGGTGGCCTAAGCCAATCAGCACGCGCCTTTGGCCCCAGTCATCGGTAGTCATGTGACCCAAAGCTGTCCAATTAGAGTGAATCATAGGATTCTCGCTTGGAATGCTGGGAGGCGCACAGGCTTGTGGGCGCTCTCGCTGGTTGGCTGTAGGTGCTGCAACGTTTTCTTTCTGCCGTCTTCAGGGTTTTTGGCTGAGACAGAAACACGTAAGGCCCATCAGAAGAAGAAAGGCACACAAATTTATATATAAATTTTATGTGACATGGGAACTCTTATAAGGAAATGAAAACCCAAAGAAATGATGAAAACTACATACTTTTCTGTTAGGCTGAACAAGGAGTGACAACTGTGGAAAAATTACTAGACTACATGGGGAGGCTAAAGGAGATAAGTATCTTAAAGAGGACTGTTTGTATAGAATTCTCTAGGTCTCACTCAACTGCTTGTTCTCGATAAGAATGTTGCTTTCCTTCTGATCCAAGAAAGGCATCTTTCACGTGGGAGTTTTTAATCTCCGGCTTTCAGAAAGAAAGCGGGAGATCAGAACGCCCTTTCTAGATCTGCTGTTGTTAAAGTGCTTTTAGCTCAGTCCGTAGGCCAACGTGGCGTGTTGTGGGATGGCATAACCGGCCACCCTTTGGAGTCTCCTTTGATCACTTCTGGAGCAGTCCCTCTGATGGGACATTATGCAGTTGCTAAAACTGAGCGATTGGAAAGATTATCATGAGACATGAAAAGAACTAACAAATACATGGGATGAAATCCTGTATAATCAGAGAGGGGGAAAAAAATGCCCATTTTAATCACGTGATCTCTTGGTTGGGGGGTGGGAAAGGTAGAAAGGAGAGAGGAATCCTGTTTTCCTCCGTTATCTCGACTTGAATCCCGCCTGATGCCTGAGGGAGGAGAGGTCACCCCCTCCTCCCAGGGGAGCCTTTGCAGGAGGACAGCCCCCCGCCCCCAACACCTGGCAGGAGGGGCAGCCTGAGGCACTGAAGAAGTGGCCTCATTTACAGATACAAAGACAAGACTTCAAATACCCAATCTTAGGGACACAACAGTCATCTTTGTGGGGATCTGCCCCTCTGAGGAGGGGCTGCGACCAGAATCTCTGGGTCTCTCGGGTGAAAGGAGCAGGACGGCTCAGGGCCCCAGGACGGGGGGCAAGTTTGCTCCTTTAGAGGCTCTTCTAGCTCCCTGGATTCGAGCTGGGGCGGGGGGGAGGGGAGGGGCAACAATTCTGTCTTGTTTTGGGTCCCAGGCACCCGGGACTAACGTGGGCATCCGGGCAAGACTACTGAATGGAGGAGGCAAGGCCAAGATGGGGGAGGGGCACAGAAAGCAAAAGGAGGGGGCTTTTCACCTGCACACCCCTAGGGAGGCGAGAAACTGGGGCCCCGCCTTTTGTCATCAACCCTGACTTCACAGCTGAAGTTCTGCCTTCTGGCTGCTTCAGACGTTTCTCCTGTAAATGTAAATACTATTTTTAAGGAGCCTGCAGCCCAAGGAAGTGTTGGTCAGCTTAACTGCTCTCAGTGGGTAGACTCAACTTTAAAGTGTTTGAAAAGAATCTGCTTCTGAGGAATTTGCATTTTCAGAAAGCTTTCAATAGAGGGCCAAGCGATGGAGCCTGTGAATAAGGTCTTTCTGTGTTTGCTGCGCCATGTGAACAGTACAGGAGGGATAAGAGAAAGGAGGCACATTGCATTCCCCTCCTCCCAGCAGCTGCAGCGGAGAGGGGGTGGGGGAAGGCACATTTGCCAAGAGCCACTGAGGATTCTGGGATGTCCCTGTTGAGTCATCTCTTCCCTGCAGGTTTCCAGGGAGCTGGTTTGCAGGAGGTAAACCCGCGACCTGATTCCCAATCCCAAGGGCCGCTGTTCCTTGCTCTGCAGCCTCCTCTTGCCTCCAGGATGTGGCCTGGTGGGGAGGAAGAGGGTATTTCTGGGTGGAGAAGAGGGGTGTGTGTTGGGGTAGAGCCTGGCTGTTTGGTTGCTTATATAGAATTCAGTCCCACACTCAGATGGGCTCCTTTCCCAGCCCTTCTCCCTTCAGTTGGGACCAGTGGCTGCTTGGGAGTCAGAAGACCTCCATGTGTGGTTTGCTAATGCTCCCTTTGGCCCCACCCCTTGTTCCTCTTCATTCTCTGAGGAAGCTGAGAAAGTGGTTGGTCTTCACTCTCTGAGGCTGAGAAAGCAAGCCTTGAGAAGGAAGGTAACTGTAAAGCTCTACCCGCCAATAGTTGGCCAAAAGCTTCCTGCCCCCAGCTTGGGAGTCCATTCTGGGTCCTTGGCTCACCCCAGGAAGCTCCCTCTAGAGGTCACAGTGACGGGGAAGGGGTAATTCACCAACACTCCTTCCCACTCCTGTCCCCGTCAGGAGCCCTTCCCCTGTGGCCTATGGTCAGTCTGTTGGGGGGGGTGTGCCCTCTTGGACGGACATAGACTAGCAGAGTGACCTCCCCGTGACGCTGTGAGGTTGTTGACCCAATTCTTAGTGCAGAGCCTGTGAGTGTACTTGGCATCAAAGAGCTTAGGGGTCCAGATGTGTAACTTTGAAGCCCTTTGAAGGCATTTGACGTGCATGGGACATAATTTCAAGTGAGCTTATTCTCTTTTTAAAATCATTTTTTAAGGTTTAAAATTTTTTTATTTATTTTTGAGAGAGAGAGAAGGAGACAGAGGATCAGAAGCAGGCTCTGCGCTGACAGCAGCGAGCTCACTTCAGGGCTTGAACTCACAAACTGCAAGATCATCACCTGAGCTGAAGTCGAACGCTCAACCGAGTGAGCCACTCAGGTGCCCATTTTTTTACTTTTATTTTTTTAAGTTTTTAGTTTACTTTTTCAAGTAATCTCTACACCCAAAGTGGGGCTCGAACTCATGACCCAGAGGTCTAGAGTAGCATGCTCTTCCAACTGAGCCAGCCAGGTGCCCCTCAGGTGAGCTTATTCTAAGTCCAGCCTATACACTAGACCAAGAAATTGCTCTTGCTTTTATTTCTGATATTAACCACACAAGGTAATAAAATGAACAACAAACTAATAGAACAAAAGTGCTTCCATATGTGGCTTCCTTCCTGTAGAAAAATGTTACCCTGTACACCACTCTTTCTTCCTCTCTCCCCATACCTTTTTTCTCTCCCTCTCTGCTTCACTCTCCCCCTTTCTTTCAACCAAACAAAATATTGACTCTTCCTGTGTGCCAGCCACTGTTCTAGGAGCTGGCAATATTTGTGAACAATAAAATGAGGAGATCCTTGGCTGGTAGATCTTCCAGGCCAGAGGAAGGACACAGGCAATAGCACCATAAGCAATAAGTAAATTTTACAGTGTTTTATAGAGGACTGAGGGTCATGGGAATAAAGTAAGTGGGGATTTGCAGTTCTAAGCAGGTGGTCAGGGTGGACTTCATTAAGATGACATTTGAGCAAAGACTTGAAGGCAAATGCAGAGGAAGAGAAATGTCTTTCCTTCTACCCATCCAAGTTCTTGGCTAGGGCTTCTGTAACAAAAAACAAGTAACAGAAAGCAAATAGCAGAAGAGCATGCAGACTTATTTAAGTTTTATGTGACACAGGAGCCTTTATAAGGAAATGTAGACCTGAAGGAGTGATTAAACCCGAGCCTTTCAATGCTAGGTTGATGAAGAATGAAAAGTTGTAGGAAAATGTGATATGACAGTTGTGTCCTAGAGATAAGGATCTTCTTTTCTCATAGGTATAGAGAAGCCATCTCTCACCTAAGGGTCTATGACCTTCTTGAGGGGAAGGTCACAGAGTCCTTCTTGAACCTGCTGTTTTTCAAATTCCTTCAGCTCAGATAGCCACGGGCTATGGCGAAGAGCGTGCCTGGCACAGGGACCAGCCAGCACAAAGGAAGGCCCAGTGCAGGAGGGTGCCTGGCTCCGGCAAGAAACAGCAGGGAGGTCTTCCTAGCTGGACCGCAGTAGGTGGGGCGTAAGAGGAGATTCAATCAGAGAGTGGGAGGGGGGCGTTGGAAAGACCTCGGTCACTGGAATATTTTTATTTTATTTTATTTTTTTTCCCATTTTAGCCACTCAAATTTATTTATTTATTTATTTATTTTTTACAAATAGTTTATTGTCAAATTAGTTTCTACATAACACTCAGTGCTCATCCCCAAAGTGCCCTCCTCCATGCCCATCCCCCCCTCCCCCCCACATCCATCAGTCGTCAGTTTTTGTCAGCATTCAAGAGTCTCTCATGGTTTGCCTCTCTCCCTTTCCCCCACCATTTCCGCCCTTCTTCTCCCCCTTGTTCCTCCGTCAAGTTCCTCCTAATCCTCCTATACGTGCAAACATATGATATTTGTCCTTCTCTGCCTGACTTATTTAGCTCAGCATAACACCCTCAAGGTCCATCCATGTTGCTACACATGGCCAGATTTCATTGTTTCTCATTGCCATGTAGTATTCCATGGTATAGATAAACCACATCTTCTTGATCCATTCATCTGTTGATGGGAATATTTTTAAAACACTTAAAAAAGAATAAAATTTTTAAAAATGGTTACTTTTGAGAGTGAGAGAGAGCATGCATGAACAGGGGAGGGGCAGAGAGAGAAAGAGAGAGAGGGAGACAGAGGATCTGAAATAGGCTCCGCACTGTCAGGGCAGTGCCCAACATGGGACTTGAACCCACGAATCATGAGATCACGACCTGAGCCGAAATCAAGAGTCAGGCATTTAACTGATTGAATCACCAGGTACCCTAAAGTATGTCTTCTTGACCTAATTATAGCCAGGCTTATGTGGTCCAGACTTGGCCCTGATTCATCTGGTTTTAATGGGAATCATGCTGGGTCAGTTTACAGAATCCTTGGTATCTTTGGTATCTGATCAAAATCCCTCTCAGTATCTTTCACCCTGGCATCCTGCCAAGCATCCTGCCAAGTTGGTTAAGCCAGAATTGCCCCTCACCCCCATGTTTCCTGGCCTTCTTCCTTGGATACTTCCCTCCCTGGCAGCCAACAGTGCAACACACCCAGTAAAGAGGTACCTTAAGACTTCTCAGCCCCAGTCCTCTGCCAGCTCACGGCTCAGTTCCTGGCTTTGGTCAGGAACATATCGTGAATTGTTCACAAGGGCACTTTGCCAACTCAAATGCCTGCTCTGAGTCTTCATGACTGGCTGTGTGAGGCGTGCTAAGTGTATAGTATCTGCATAATGTATATGCTGTTCCTGCCTATACAGAGGAGGAGATGCCTGGGGAGAGAAGGTCTTCCAGAGTCTTGCAGTGAAGCTAGAACTTGTGGTAGCAGCGTGAAGAGCTGTCTTACCTCTCATGGGCTACCAGCAGCCACAGGCCTGTTTTACTGCCCTGTCAAACATGGCACTGAGCCTGGGACCTCAGAGGAGATGGAAGAGGCTGCCCTTGGGTGTTTCATCTCAGTTTTATGACTAGATTTGTCACTTTAGTTTCCTGGATCCTTGTTACTCATTCTACCTGTACCCCACCAGGCTTCATGACCTTTGGGGAGTGGTTGTCCTCTGGAGGTAAGGTGGAAAGGATGAGGACCAGAGTGGAATCTGAAAAGCTCAGGAACTTTCAACTGGTCCTAGCACCTGGTGTCAGTGAGCTGGGTGGGCCAGATGGGCAGCCGCAGGTGGCTGGGGCATCCTGGACTTGGCTCTGACTTCACCCTTTGCAGCCTCTTCCAGTGTACCTCTTCTGCCCTTGGAAGGACCACTCCAGTGGGATGGACCCGACTTTCTCAGGAGTAGCCACTCTGTGGTCTAGAGACCACATTCAGAGCCAAGGTCTGAATCTATAGACCCATAGACCTAGCCTCAGCCAGGCTGTCCCCAAATCACAGCCATGGTAGCCTTAATTCTAGCACTGTGTTCAGAAGTATACTTGATCATGCTTCTTTCTAGCTCTCCACATCCCTCTCCAAAGCACTTGCTGGGACTGTTGTTTGAAACTGGTGGTAATTAAAATAGTTCAATCCAACGATCACTATTTATAAGCCGCTCTGAATATAATGGCCTAACCAAAATCTCATCTCATCAAAAAAAGAGTCCCAATGGGGGCAGGCTTATTCATTCCTGAGATTCTACCATGTGCCAGGAAGGATTCGAGAGAGGAAAAACAGCTAGTGTCTGCCTCCAGGACCTAATAACAGAGGGAAGAGGTGGACATACCAACAGAACAGCAGGATGAAGAGTAATGGGGGTGCTTGGCATATGACCATTTGTCACGTGTGGTTTCCACTCTTCAAGAGTGATGCCTATGGTCAATGACAAGTACCGTGAGACCCAATGCGAGGGCAGTGTAGAAGGGTATCCACGGATGAGCCCCACTGGCAGTGACTGTCAATGAGAATGCTATTGGCATCTTGGGTGGGATAACTCTTTGTTGTGTGGGACTATCCTGTGCTTTGCATTCTCAGTCTTCATCACTAACAGCCCATAGTATCCCCCAGTCACTGTGATGGCCAGTCACATTTCCCAGGGGTGGGAGGTTGGGACTGCCCAGGTCACCACTGTCCTGAGGGATCCAAACACCATGGGTCTGTGGCTCAAGGCAATTGTGAATTCTCGGTTCCTAGCCACTCAGGCATTCACTCTGGTGAAATGGTGGGGGTGGAGGGGAGGTTGGCCGAAGTGGAGGGCAGCACTAGAGCTCTGGTTATAGGTTCAGAACCATCTGGAGTAGATAGCTGTGGTTTTTAGCTGCCTAGCATAGGTTCCCATTTCTTTTGGTAACAGGTTACCAAAATTATCATTTGACCTCTTCCTTGCTGTCAGTCCTCCGACCTTCCATGGGGTTGACTCTCAATTCCAAAAGTGGTCGTAGCCTGGCCAGTCAGAGCATTGCATTCCCCTGGGCAGCGCATGGGTTTTGGGAGGGACACAGGGCCTGATCAGAGGCTGATCAGAGCCCTTTTGCTGCTGGGAAACAGACCACCTTCCCTGTCAGACTTGACCTTCAGAGGCTACGGGGCTGTGGCTGCTGCAGCCATCTGACCCCCTCGTGAGAAGAGCCTGCCTGAGAAGGGAAGTGACCCTGCAAAAGCAGATAGAAACGGGTTTGGGGGCATGGTCTGCATCCCCGGAACAAGTCACATCTGAGCTGGAATTCTCTCTTGACTTTTACATGAGTCAGTACATCCCCATTTTGTTCAGGTCAGTTTGGGTTAGGTTGTCCGACAGGTACAATGAAAAGGGATTGATTAATATGCCAGAAAGAGGAGCTGAGTACCTTGGATTGGAGGAGCCAGGCTGACCAGAGGCTCCAGTCCTTTCCACCAGGTCTATGCCCCCTTTCATCCTGACCTGCAGGACAGATGGCAGCGTGACCCTACCCTGCATTCTTCTTGGGGAGGCTGCTTCCCAGAAGAGGTGACCCTCAGTCCAGAGATAGGTACCCTCTCCCAACCTATCAGTGCCTGTTTAGGAAAGGAAATCCTCGGATTGGGAGGTGGTGAGTGGGCTGCGGGGTTCCTCGGGACTGGCCCGGCCCACCTGGCCCAACCCAGCTTCCCTGTTGCAGGTAGGCTCTCTCAAGGGGGGGGGGGGGTCTTGCTGGTTCCTAGCCTGGCCAGCTCTTACAGGTGGAGCAGGTCACTTGGGCATGGCTCTGTGCACTCACTTACCTGAGTTTAGACTTGTCCTCCTCCCCAACAAATGGCCCCTTCACACCCCCTGGTCAGTAATGACCAGGGGATGTGTCAGTACCTCATTACTACAGGGCATTCTGGACTCCCAATCGCAGCCATCTGCATTCCTTTGCCTGGGAGCTTCATCTCTGAAGTGGACACAAGTCCTGAGAGAATGAAGCATCTCCCTCCCAGCAGCCCTTAACTGAGGACCAATGGGACGGGTATCTAAACATCCAACTTTCCTGCCGCCGGTGGGATTACTCTGAGGTAGATGATCTGTTTTCCATTGTTGCCCCGGCAGAATGAGGCCTCAGTTGTCCTCAGGGGCCACCACACCTGAATGGACTGTCCTCTCTCCCATGTTTCACACCCTTCTCCCATACTGGGCACTTTGAACTAAGACCTCTGCCCCAGCTGCTCAAGACCCACCACCAGGCGCTGGCACGGGGGCGCTAAATTACTGGAGGGAGCACAGGCTGCAAGTGGTGCCTGGCCCGCCCCTGCGCCTCCCCCATCACAGGTGAAGCTACCTGAAGCTGTTTCCCAGAGACAGAGACAGAGTGTTCCCCGGGCACGGGGCCCCCTTTCCCCAAGGCGCAGGCCTGGAAGGGGGCCAGCACATTCCTCCTGTTCCCACTACTGGGGATCACCACTGGACAGAAGTGCAGTTGACTCTCATGTTAGGTATTGAACTCAGTTTTATCATTCTTGCTTTTAGGGTGGGAAAATCAGAAACAGTTTGCTCTGTATGTGCAGAGAAAGTTGTTCCCCTTTGGGTCTGTGCCCCCAACACAAATAGGATCCCACCCTCATTGCCTGGGGCTCGCAAAGGCATCCCACATCTACCTCCCAACCCATTTGCCAAGTTGAACTTTGTGT